TCTTACAAAGATATTACAAGGTCCTATGGAACCCTCATCAGACTTTGTGGCAAGAATGGTAGAATCTGCAGGACGAATGTTTGGGGATCCAGATGCTGCTATGCCTTTGATCAAACAGCTGATTTATGAACAATGTACAAAGTAGTTTAGGGCTGCAGTAACTCAATATAAAGGTAAAGGCCTTGAGGTCTGGATGAAGGTCTTTAGGGAGTTAAGGGCCTATTGACCAATGCTGGCCTAGCAGCTGCTGTGATTCAATTAACTAAAAAAGGCAGAAGTTCAGGAGCTTGCTTTAAATAGGGCAAGCAAGGGCATTTGAGAAAGCAATGCCCAGAAGGAGGAATTACCAAAGTCAATAATTCTACCCTGCGCCCTAAGCAACCTGGCTTATGCCCTAGATGTAGAAAAGGAAATCATTGGGCTAAGGATTGTAGATCAGTAAAAGACATCAGTGGACAGCCTCTTGTTCAGGGGTATGGAGGAGCCCGTCCAAAAAACCCCAGGGCCCACAAATATATGGGGCCATGGAGGATCAGAACCAGGAGCAGAGTCCCGAAACCTGGCCCTCTCTTCGACATCCGAGAGACCGAGGAGAGCCACTACAGGCTCCGCAGGGCTGGACTTATGCTCCACTACCAGACTCATATTAACTCCCAGATTGCGGGTCCAGCTCATTGACATGGATTTTAAGGGACCCCTTGAGCCTGGCACAGTAGGCCTGCTTATAGGAAGATCATCTGCAGCCTTGAAAGGTCTACTAGTACATCCTGGAGTAGTAGATCCTGATTATATGGGTGTAGTAAAGATCATGGTAGAATCTCCTAGAGGGATTACAGCCATTTCTCCTAGAGACTGGATAGCACAGCTACTGCTTTTGCCAAGTTTACATGATAAGTTTCCAGCTCAAACCAGAGAGAGAGGAGAGGGAGGCTTTGCTTCCACTGGATTGAACTTAACTTTCCTAGCTTTAGACCTCGATCAATGTCCTACCCTTGAGTTAATAGTGAATGGTAAGAAAATCCTAGGCTTACTAGATTCTGGAGCTGATAAGAGCATTTTAGCCACCAAAGATTGGCCCTCTGGCTAGCCTATACAGGTCTCTTCTCAAACTTTGCAAGGTTTGGGCTATGCTAAGGCTCCTGATATGAGTGCTAGACAATTACAAAGTTCAGAAAGGGCATTCAGGGACCATACAGCCTTATGTGTTAGACTTAGCAATTTCACTATGGGGAAGAGATTTGTTAAAGAATATGTGTTTTAAACTCACAAATGAATACTCAGAAACATCTCAAGATATCATGAAATGAATGGGATACATCCCGGGTCGAGGCCTTGGAAAACATCTGCAGGGTCGAACTAGTCCTATTATTCCACAACTGGACCAAAGAATCTAGGTCTGGGTTTTTCCTAGGGTCCACTGAGGGAGGTATTCCTATTACCTGGAAAACAGAGGAGCCGGTATGGGTTCCTCAGTGGCCACTTTCCTCTGAAAAACTGGAGGCTGCTAGGACTCTAGTGCAGGA